TGGAAGTCCTTCGTCTGAATTGAGTAGGAGACATGTGATAGTGTTTGATATGAAGCTTGTAAAGTTCCACACTATCCTCCAGTTTCCTGAGCATCTTTCTGTATGCTGGTGTCATGGCTTGCACTTCACTACCAGGCAGTGGAATCGAAACTCGCCTAGGCTCAAGAGCATCACTACCTAGTTTCTCAACTTGACTTTCTGAATCTTGCTTACCACGGTTGCGCGCAGGTGCAGAATGTTTTGGTTCAATGACTTGAGGTTCATCTGAATCAATTTTGTCCAAACCTAACTCCCTAGCTACCTTATCAAGCTCATCTTCTTCATCAAGCTTGGGATAGGAGACAACAACCTTCTTTCTTGATGAACCTGATTGAGAGTCATCGACAACCTGAGGTTTCTGCTTACCTACGTGTCTTTTGGCTGCAGGTGGACCTACCTCAATCTTTTTCGAGCCTGGTCCATTTGAAATCGGTTTGCCTTCCTCCTTCTTTAAGGAGCTTGGCTTCTTCTTCTGTACACCTGATGGCACTGAAGAGGCTGACTCAGGGTGAAAAAGATCATCAATGTTTCCACGAAAGGGCTTTGCACGATCAATGTCACTTCTGACAATGTCATCTGGGATCACGTAGTCCTCCTTGATCTTGTAGATGGTCTTGCCCTTCCAGAACTCTTCACTCTGTTCAGAAAACCTCTTCTTCTCAGTGCGCCAGTTGTCCTTGTGAAGAACCTTCTTCTTGCTCTTCTGGAATTCCATGTGGGTTTCTCTCTCATCAAGAAGTTGATCTTTTGGAATTGGAGTTTTCTCTGATCGAGTCATCTCATGTAAGTTCATTCTCTTGTCCTTGTGGTGCCTGATGAGTTCACGACGTAGTGGATCAACCTGCCAGTAGTCACCAGTCACCAAAGCTTCTCCTTCATGATCATCTTGTTTGACAGCAATCTGGCTGTACTCAAAGTGATCGTGTTGTGAATAGAAACTTTTGACTTGTGGATTCTTGAAATGAACTTGGCTCATGTACCATGCTACATCTTGTAGGTCGAGAATGAGATGAGTACTAATGGCTGTCCTCAAAACCATTTTTCTCATGCCAATACGTGCACAGGACAAATAAGCCTTCTCTGGAGTAATTTCAAATTGAAATCCAAGGTTTCTCATCTGTGGAAGTGACATCAATAACGGGACATCACCTTCTTCGACAATGTCGAATTCTGTAAACTGAGTGTTCCATCCATGATCATACATGAATATCACGAGCTTCTCAGTACATTTTGATTGTTGTGAGTTTGCAAAAAAGAATCTTGAACTTGTTGGCTGAATTTCATACCAGAGTCCACTGTTGGGATGTGAGTCAACATATCTGCAAAATGCTTCAACTGCTCGTCGAGAGCCCATAGCTCTTGTGCATCCAAGATCCAGAATACACACAGTTGGTGGTGCAGAATTCTCTGTGTGAAAAGCTAGTCCATTCTCACATGCCAGATCAGTTTGTACAGTATGAAATGAAAAAGCACTCTGCTGTGATGGTTCCTCTATCTCTGTAGAGCATCCATGTGAAAACAATGATGTGCCTTCTGCCAATGGCTTCCATGAAGCCTCACCTTCTTGAAGACCAACTTGCCTGGGCACTACAGCTGGACGTTGTTGTACACCTTGTCGTAGTGCACCAACTTCTCCAACCAGAACAGGGAATCTCTTCATTTCTCTCCTGTTTTGATGTGCTCTTGCATCACGTTGGTTCTGTCCTCCACGACGAGTACGTCGTTGTTCATCTTGTGCTGCATACGTGGATGTCAAAACATCAACACGTGCTGGCTCTGTCTCTGCAACATCAACACGTGCTGGTTCAGTTGTTCCAAATGAAAAGAAACCATGACCAGAACTTGAAGCTGCAGAAGAATAATGAGCTTGTTGAGTTGGTTGATTCTGTATGGCAGGAGCTGATGTGGTCTGAGGTTGAACATAGTTCGACTTGCCTTTTCCATCTCCTGGCTTTCCTCCTTTTCCATCATCATCCTTGCCTTTCTTGCCTTTCTTTCTTTCCTTTTCCTTTTCCTTTTCCTTTCTTCTGGAAGTATCCATACTCATCCATGTAGTACAGATCATCATAGGCCCAATAGCCTTCATTCCAGGTTTGATCATCGGCCCAATAGCCGTCATAGTTTTCATTCCATTCATCTTCTTGCCATTCATCTTCATAACCTTCTTCACTCACCATGTGAGCACGGCCTTTCCTTCTTCCTTTTCCTCGGCCTTTTCCTTTTCTTGATTTGAAGAACCTTCGTCCTCCTCTGCCTTTTCCTTTTCCTTTTCTCTTTCCTTTACCTTTGCCTCGTCTGATGTATTTGCCTTGGAACCTTCTCTGATACCATGTGAAGTTGGCGTCATCATAAACCCAGAAAACATCTTCTAAAGCATCCAGGAATCCTTCTGCGCCGTCTTCTTCATCTTCGGCCCAATAGCCGTCGGTTCCTTCTAATTCACCTTCATCCAGTACGAGGAAAGATCTTCTCTGTGCCATGCCAGAGGGTTGCATCAATGGATTGTCAACTGCTGTTTTGGTAGTGCAAAACATTTCCAAAAACAGGTCACGTAGTTCTTGAATGTTGTATCTATCGAGGGTTCGTCCACGATGTGTCATGATACTTGTGAGTGTGTTTCTCTGATCTTGACTCAGGTCAGCTAGACTTACAAAAAACAATGCTAGCAAATTTTCACCCAGTGGGAATGCTTGTCGCTGTGCTTCTCTACGATTTTCCTGAAATTGTCTGAATGCCGCTAGTGCCAGTTCATCTGTCCAAGGAACAGCTACATGGGGTGTTCCTGAGGCTGCTGCTACTTCAGCTCTCTCTTGTTGATCTCGATCATGTTCTTGACGTCGTTGCTGAACAAACAGGATTGCTTCAGTACTAGTCACTGTTACTTCTGGAAGTAAATCCATCCAAGACTCAATAAGCCTATTGCCAGTGAGTTGAAATCTAGTCATCCACTTCTGAAGATCCATGGTTCCTCTGTTGAACTTCATGAACTGCATGAAACGGTATAAGAACACGTTCTGGGCACCTTTGATGAAATGAGGTCGTAGAAATCTTTTGAAATAAGCCACTCCTTCATAGGGATCCCTGAGTAATTCTCTATCCAATAGCCTCTTGTATTGTTGAGCATCTCCTTCCAGTCTGTTGCGCAATGCTGGACCACGTTTCTCTGGTTCTAACTCCGTAATGTCACACCAGTCATCAATTGCATCCTCAAAAGCAAAGAAGCTGGTTCGCCCATCATAGGCTGGAGCAACCTTTGTGGTCATCTGTTGCGTCATATGAATCTGTGTATGCTGGGGTGCTCTTCTCATTGCATAAGAGTCATATTGGTTCCATTCATTTGCATCGACAATGTCGAAGTCATCATCATCATAGCCATGGCTTGCCATTTCTTGGGCTCTACCTGGAGCTCACCCTCAATGAGGGATCACTGCTCCGCTACCACTTGAAGAGGGGCCCTAGCGTCTACTTCAAGATCAGCTAAGGCGTCTTCCCCAATGACAGCACTCTTTTACTCTCAGCCTGTTGCCGGTCAGTGCTTGTCTACAGGGTTACTCTATATACCTCTTTCTTGAGCCTTGAAGGGCGCATATAAATGTGCTCAATACTCATGCATGTACCTATGTAGGTATTAGGTCGAAACAAAAACAAGGGCGCAGCGCCTCCCCCCGCAATGCGTACCAAGAAAGAAGTACATAGGCACAAATCTCGATGGATATCAATAAAGATAAAATGAACCCAAATAACCGGTGATGCTTATGAAAAACAAAAAGAATAGTAGGTAGCAAGGGGAACCGATTAAAAAAAAAACGGGTGGGGGGGTGCAGGGGGGAGGGCGCAGCGCCTCCCCCCGCAATGCGTACCAAGAAAGAAGTACATAGGCACAAGTCGCGATGGATATCAATCAAGATTAAATGAATCCAAATAAACAACGATGATGCTTGTGAAAAAAAAGAATAGTAGGTAGCAAGGGGAGCCGGCTAAAAAATAAAAGCGGGTGGGGGGGTCAAGAGAAGGAAGCTTTCCTTTCATTTTTCAAGAGAAGGTTACTTCTTTCTTTCTTTCTTTCTTTCTTTCTTTCTTTCTTTCTTTCTTTTCTTTCTTTCTTTCTGTTCCTGATTTTGTTTTTTTTGATCCATGGGTTTTGCCTTCATTTCGTGATAGTTTCCTTGTGTTTTCTCATGTTTTCTGGATTTTGTTTTTTTTTTGATCCCTATTTGTTTTTTTTTGATCCTTATTTGTTTTTTTGATCCTTATTTGTTTTTTTTTTTGATCCCTCTCCCACGCACAACGGGCCCAAAGGTAGAACCCAAGGTATGGAAGATTGGTTGTCATTCTACCAATGGCTCATGGATAGCCAACAGGACCATTCCTGGGGCCAAACCTGGAGAACACGGCTAGCTGGGAAATTCCAAAAAAATGGCGCTTTGAATGCGAAAATCATCGAATGAAATGGGGGGCGTTTTCCATCAAACATCATCAAACATCATCAAACCATGTTTGATTCCCAGAGGGATCCCATAAATTCATAAATCTCCATTGATATCGCATTAATCACTATAAAACTACAGTAAATCACGATAAAATCACCCATTTCAATGGAAACCAGGCTCCAGTCATTACCGGCTTCCGAGGAGCAGTGCCCAATCGAAGAATTCACCGCGGTCGCCGTCCGGCCAGCCCTTGTCGGCATGTAAACCTGGCTGCTTGGCGCTGGTTGATGTGAACGGGCGTTCCCAGCTCAGTTTGAATCATTGCCGTCTCCATTACCCTCTGGTAAACTAACATAGCTATTGAAAATGGCCATTTATAGTGAGTTTTCCCATAAAAAATGGTGATATTCCATAGTTATGTTAGTTTACCGGAGGGATCCGGAGGGTACATTGGTGTAGTGGCGTAGCATACCACCCCTGTAGTCATCGCAACTCATTGGGGTCTTGAAACTGCTCACTTGGCCATGTCACTGCTGTGTCGGTTCTCGATGAAAGGCATCTTGAACCCCAGAAAGGCCGCATAGCCCAACTGCCCAGCGACGGCTATGAGAAAGACAAGCAGCCTCAGGTGTGGCATTACAAGGTGGTGTCCCATGGTCAGCTATTGTGGTTTATAAGTATAGCAACCCCAAAATAAATGCCGAAAAGTGGGAAACCCAGAAATATGCATCAAATATCATCGAACTAACCTCCTTGAAACACTTTTCTGCATCTTTTTGGGATGGCTATAGGTCGCAGTAACTAGGGTTTATGACGATTATAGCTATGATTTGATGGGCTTGCAATAAAGATTATAGCTGGGGAGCCCCCAAATTGTAGCTACACTTGGGCATGGAATGACACGTAATGATAAGTAATGGGGGTCCACAATGCCATAGTCACCTTCCCAAAAGCATCGGTTTATGAAACTGACTATGCCCCGAGTCATAGGATGTTGTAGCATTGTAGTTCATAGCCCACTGCTATGGTTGATAGCTCGGGATGGTTCATAATTGGATCCCACATTGTGCAATGTTGATGCAAAAAATCCTTGGAAATCTGGGAGACCGCAAGCGCATGTGTAAAATACACATGGAATCACATACATACATCCACAAACATAGAGTAATATACACATTGACAAATAGAAATGCACATTTAATGCACATTTACACACACATGCATCCACGAACATGGGTACATAAATGCACATGTCATACACAAATAATTAATAATTACAAGTATATGATATGATGCATACCAGTGATGTACAAACAATTGGATGAACCATATAGTAACCACCATCAACCATCATCAACCATCTCACCCCTTCAGTAAAAAACACACTCATGGCTTAGGACCATCAGGATTTCTATGGGATTTGGCAATGAATTGGTTTAAGGGAACATTTACAGGAAAGCCCCATATTTAATGGGAAAATCTATGGTTTCCTGTAGATTTTCCCTTGAACCAATCCATTGAATTTGGCAGATTTCCATGGGACTGATGGGGAAAGTCTAGGAAAGACTGGGATCTCTGGTGCCTGGACACCTCAGGCACCACAGCGCCGCCCGGGCCCGGCTGTCGCTTCCTCCGCGCCCCGTGAGCATCTCCAAGGGTTTGGGCGCCAGGGCGACCGAAGCGAAGAGTAACAGGAAGGGCACACCGATGCCTACCGGGTGAAACGTCGGGGTTTTCATCATGAGAGAATGATGGGATATTGTGAGATCATCAGAAAAATATGGGAATCATGAAGTTTGTAGAAATGATGCATGGAACATTGATGAATATATGGATGAATATCTCTGAAAAACATATGGAATCCATCTAATCAGACTTTGTCACACATGAAAGAACAAAATGTTTCACAAGGCTATCAGCTATCACTAACACTAAATGAAGCCGAAAACGCATTGGAAGGAGTCAGCCATCCTTTTGTTTTGGGGGAAGGTGGCATGCAAGCATGAGTGCCCAACACTAAGTCAGACTCTGGTGCCAAGCATGGTCAAGTGTGCCACTCCCTGTATGTGCCTCACTCGTCTGCATGCACTTGTTTCGATGCACACATTTGAGCGCTGAATGAAAAGGGCATGGGCATGAAATGGGAATACATGAGTTTCACGATGCTGAAACGGCAGAAGCACAGCAGCTCCTCTCTGACATTTTGACATGGATTGGCCGTGTGAGTCTAGGAAAAACATAGAAACACTCTTCAAACGAGTATCAAAGAAGGAAATGAAGGAGCAGGGATAAGCTTGCACACCATAGAGTCATGCCTGAGAATCCCGCATTAAAAAACACCAAAGAGTCAATTTATGCTCACTTATATTCAGAACCCCAGGCCCCACTTCTGTGCTTGGCCCCCCACCCAAGTTCACCCATGCCCTTTTGCATCTCAGTCACATTTCAGCCGGCTAATGAAGCAGCCCAACACCAGAAAGAGGCCCGTCTGCAGCAGCAAAACCATAGAAGCGAAGACGTGGGCATAACCTGAGGAACTTCGCTGCGAAAGCTGCTACTGGAGTTTCTGCAAACACGATATGCCTTGCACAATCCTGTGCCATGATGCCTTGATCAGTAGATGGCGTTCTTTGCAGTAGGATCTCTGCCAAATCTCAAGTTGCTGGGGTTGGATCGAACCCGGGACACCCTTCAAGCATCTTTTTCTACAATATACATTAATATACTATATGCATCTATATGCCTAAACATATGCCCTGCATCCTATCCTGTCAGCTTCCTACATCTACCATGTCTTGCATTTTTATGCATTTAATTGAAAAGTACAACCCCCGTCGCCCCGTCCCATCACACATTGTTGTGTCAAACAACTCGAGCAACCCCCCAATCTTTTACCGGTGAATGGCCAACCGTTGGAGACCACGAAACTCGTCACGAAACACATCGAAGTGAATGGATCTTGTGAACTGCCTACTATATTAAGTGGGACTGGGACCCATGAGATATTTAACCCATTCGGTTATTTAACATAGCTATGATGTCCCATTTATATCCATTTATAGATGATCAACATGATGTCCCTTTTATAGTGATTTTCGAGTTCGCTACGTTAAATCACCAGAGGGTATATCCCATGTCACCCCATTCAACCCTATTTTAATCCCAAGTAAAATCCCTAGTGAAATCCAATTCGCCAGCAGGTTGCTCTGCGACTGCGTCTCTTTGCCCGCATGCGGCAGGATCTGGAGAAGCAGGGCCCCTGGCTGCTTGGTCGGCTTGGTCCTTTTCCCGGGCCCCCAAGAATGGAGCTTTATCAACCATCGGGCCATCATGGGATACGAATCCCAACCTGCCAAAAAATAACACTAAACTCTAAACCTTGACTAGTGAGCCCCCTACGTGCGCAATGACATCACGTTCCAACTCTTTTGAGGTGAGCCCTGTGGAAATTCTATCTGGCCATGGTCCCATTCACCGTCGCATTCACGGGGATTGGGCGTTGCCCTGTTTCTTTACCCTCTTCGAAAAGGCGGCGGCTTCGGATGCCTGATTGAAAAACCAGAGCCAACGCCGCCATGTGGTAGACCTTGGTCTGGAAGCCCACCTCGATGTTCTTCCAGCCTAGGAACAGAGGCAAAACCTCTGGGATCTTCGGCACCATGCGCCACGCACTATGCACCATTGCAAATGTATATACATACATGCATATATATATACATATATCATTGCAAGATTTGCAAGTGACTTTCATGACAAAAAGCACATGAAAAACCAGTCTGCAGTGAGAAGTCTGGTCACAAGAGGTTCATCAACCACCAATCACCTACCGTAGCCATGTACAGAGGCTGTGAGTAGGCCATAGTCGGCCAGCAGTTGGCATTACGACTCAGATCCCTTCCTACGAAGATCAGAATCTCAAATAGCCCTGGAGTCATCATGGTTTAGGACCTTGGACCTTGGATCCGCTCATTTTGGGGGTTCCATCTCTGCTCACTTGATATTGAAGGGAAGGAATTATATAATCTCATGAACACCATGGAAAAACCACAGGATGCCTTGGGGGTGGCTTTCCGGAGAGGACCAACTTTTTCAACAAACATGCTCATCTTGCTGGATTTTTGAGACATCTCCGGAGTTAATCCATGACGAAAAATCAAGGGTCAACCTCAGGTACCCTTTTGAAAATGCTTGTGATCAGCAGGATATGAGGAAAAAAATACTTACCTACCATGTGGGTGGGAAACTAGTAGCTCCGTGGCTAACCACCGGATGGCAACCAGGGTCCTCCACTGATAGCCTCCAAGAAGCTGATAAAGTCAAACACACTCACCGCGTTGTAGAGCCTCTGCCCATATCTCATGATGGAATGGCTCATGGGGGGCAAGGTGAGATCTAACCAACAAGCAACTGGGGATATTTTTAAAGAAGCCAAGGCACATAAGTGGAATGGCCAATTGAAGGGCTAAATTGGGATACGATTCATCAATCATCAAACAATGGAGGGACTACGCATAAACTCATAAACTACCCGGAAATATAACATGCTTTCAGATGCTTTCAGCATGTTACAACCCATTTTTTTCATGGAGAGTTGCCACACCATGCCACATCTCCAGTAGCCTGGTGTTGAAGGTTGGTTCCTTCTGCACTGCAGTGCCCAGGTAGGAAGGAAATAAGGTCCTCATCTTGTTCCTCAGACCAGCTGGAGAGCACGTCTGCTAAGTGGAGCAATGTTGGCCATCCGAAACAATTTGAAACCACCAAACGGGGTCTATTGGTGCTACCGTTCTACCCACTATTTTGCTGGTTGTATCCCCGTGTATTGCTAGAAGAACACTCCCTGTCGCGGTTGCTTTGAAACAAGAACCCCAGTAATCTTCCGAATTATCTTGCCTGGTTTTCCCTTAGTGCCCTCTGGCAATCAAACATAGCCGTGGAAAACCACCATTTTTAAGAGGTAGATCATCTACTTTCAGCCATGGCTTTCACAGCTAACATCAGCTAACCAGCGCCACCTGGACCTGGCAGTCGAGCTGCGCGTACAATTCCCAGACATGTTCGTCCGCCGTGGCGAATGGCATCTGTAAAATACGCAGCAGTAGGAACAGCAACACCTCCCGTTGCTAACCACCAGGGTCTTGGAATCGGATGGAAAAAGTGGATGGAATAGATCTGATATTCTACGTACATGTGCCAATACATACCATCAATTTTTGATTGACATCTAGTTTAATGGATAAAGTAAAGTTGAAGAAAATGGAAGAGGCAGTATCCTCTGGAGTTTTGTATTCAAATTCGGCCTGGTGATGAAAGCTGGCTACGGAAATCCACTGTAAAGTACTTTTAGGGGTCAGTTTTACATTGCAGTAAATACGTGTCGACCATATTTCACCATATACAGTATGTTTGCTGGTACAATCAGCATCTGTCATGGCAACAATCTCCATTCTTGACGGCAAAATACAAAAACATGTGGGTTTCCTAACTTGGGGGTACCCCAAAATGGATGGTTTATAAAGTTTATAATGGAAAATCCTAGTAAAATTGATGATTTGGGGGTACCCCTATTTTAGGAAACCTCCATATAAGGTCCATATATGTATGAATAGTATGGCGACTTGTGAATGGTGATTCCCGTTATTCATGGTAAGATGCAAGTTGTTGATGGTGAAGTTTTGGGGGGTCCTAGAATAGGGCTACCCCAAATCATCAAAGTTTTTTTTGACCATTTTAACATTGAAAGCTGTGGTTTGGGGGTACCACCATTTTCGGAAACATCTCCATATAACCATTATAACCACTAAATAATGGCCGTTATAGTCATCATTTATTCATCATTAAGCTACATATAGGCATATTATTCACCACTCACCATCTCCAGGAATCCCGTTGCGTGGCCGAGACGCTGCCAAGGCCCCGTCGAGCCACCAGAAGAGTCGCCACAAGGGCGCTTTTCGGAGCGACAAGACCAACCTACCGCGGTAGCGCGGCCAGCGAAACGCTAGGAATGGATGGGAAGGTTGCTGGGAATGGATGCCCCCAGAAAACTACACACTGTACAACTAAGCACTTAAGTAAAATTGTAGATGGCTTAGCGAGCTAACCATCTTTCTGGAACCCATTTACTGGGGTGATTTTGCCCAGATACTCATTGGGGTGAACCACCAAGTGGAATTCTTTCGTGGAAGTTCGCAAACTTGTGTGCGCATTGCACATGCATTTGCAGTCGTCAGTATAAAGTCATCTAAATCTTGTGTTGTACGAAAATACATGATATACGCATCCGCATACTTATACATGTGTAACTACGCTTAATACATGGAATGGGCATGTTGTATTTCCACATATGCATGCATGTACACATATGCACACACACAAATATATATAACTATACATGTCACAAATCCAAATGGTTGTTCGTGACTACCTATCCCCAATTATCTATCAGTTTCGGAACAGATTCTGGACATTTCTGGACCCAAGTCAAGTAAACGATCCCAACAGCTAAATTGTTGGACCATGAAATTGAACATTTCCCCAAGATTCATAAAATGAATTCATATTATGAATTCATGAGGATGCGGCTTGGTTGCCCCTACTATAAATCCGTAAATTGTCACACCTGCTTGGGCCCAACCCCTCGGAATCAAATCTTCCGACCACGATTTGGTGCCTAAAATCCACCCAAATATGTCCTTAAATCCCATCACATGCAACCAATCCATGAATCCCCCCATCAAATCCATCAAACACCCATGGTTTAGCAGGGAATTTCCACATCATTGGCACCCATACAATGGGGATCAATGGCCCGAGGCGCTTGATGGCCACCAGCTGCGTGACCAGCAGGTGCTGCACCAACAACTCGTTTCCGAAGAGGAGACCGGCGGCCACCAGCACAGCCAGGAGCTGCGAGTTCAACAGCTCCATCATGGCAGCACGGGCACCTCTGCACGTAGAAAGGGAAGATCTCATCTGTGGCTGAATCATATGGGGATATGGATGGATATGGATGGATATGGATGGATATGGATGGATATGGATGGATATGGGGATATATGGATGGATATAATGGACACTTAAATTTGGAAATCAAACGCCACTTAAAATCTACTGGAGGGTGGAGGTTCCATATTACTCAATACTCTCATAGCCCACTTGAGCGACTTTGGTATTTGTGTGTCTTATCCAGGCCCTCATTTCAGCCAAGTGCGCTGTTGTGACACGCCAGGAGGGTGCAAAGGAAAGCGGCGGAGACTTGCAAAAGAAAGGCAAAGGCCGAGAACTGCCATAACAAAATGCACAGCACCTGGCAGCAACTGGGTCTCGCCTTCGTTTCTGAAAAGTTACCTTGGCACTTTTTGAATCAATTGTCGAAGCAGAAGTAAGGCCGGGTGGTTTCCCTTACGTGCCATCATACCAAAATGTGAGGTTAGCCACTGAAGTCGCTCAAATTCGCCAAGAATGTTGGTTCCAACTTCTCATCAACAGAGGCCTGTGGGAGCCTAAGGTCCAACAAAACATCCTGACTTCTGCTCAAGTCAGGACATCCTGGATTTCGGATGCACCAGAATGTGCTCCTTTAAATCATACGTGAAATTATGCTCCACTATATAATCATCCTGAAGTAGATAGACTACTATAGACTATATATATATATTATATATATATAGTGAAATCATCCTGAAGTAGGTCGAATTTCGGTCGAAAAAAAAGCATAGACTATGGGACCATATGGATCCATATGGGGCCTCCAATCATATTCCATGATATTCCCATTCTAGTGAGGCGTCACATCTCCACATCTTACCCACTCCAGGACGACGACGAACTCATCGACGAAACGGGAATCCGAGCCAGGCAGGCTGTCAGGATCCGAAAAGCCCAGCGCCAGCGGAGGAATTCCTTGGGACCCAGAGTGGGAATTTAACTTATGGCAATTTGGGAAAAGGAAACATTAGGAAACCTGTTCATGAAAACACTATTATGGGATAAATTATGGAATAAAAACCATAATGAAGACATACAGATATGGGATAAATTATGGAATCATCATGGAAATGAATGGGATTTTGATGAGTTCAACCCAAAGCCAGCCAGCTTCAATTACTGGAAGCTCTTCCCATTTTCCCATTCCTACTTGGAGGATCGTCCCAACTTAGTAACTGCTTTGTAAGTCTCCCAACTGGCTTGTCCAATAGCAGGGTTTATAGCCCCACTTACCAACCACTTACCAACCAGTCACTAGATGAGGTGAGCCTCCTCAGTACATCTAAACCAAACGAGGCACCCAAGTGTTCTGACCACTGAAAGCTGGATGCGTCAGCAGCAGCTTCGTCATAGCCCAAACCTGGGGCCAAACTTGCTCCACCACAGTGGCCACACGTCTCCCCAAAGTCACTTACTGCTCATCGCCATGGTAAACATCTATAAACGTCTACATGGGTCCAAACCATAACTTGAAAATTACCCAACCGTTAAAATATGGCATTGCCAAGTTGGATTGACAAAGGGTCATCGTCCTGAGAACCACTGTTTCAAGACACCTGCTGGATGATTTTATTCCAAAATATTCGACTAAACCCAGGTGCGAAGGCGCTGGCGGGCTACGGGTCAGAACTCTGGTGCTTTGAGTACTTGTCCGGAAATGGATGTTCCTCCCCCAAATCTGAATAGGGTTTTGTCAAAAATGAATTGGTTCAAGGGAAATTTGACGGTATTTACCATTCAAAATGGGAGTTTTCCTCCAAGTTACACCCCTATCCGATTCTCTGGACCCATGTTCAACCCCAAAGCATTCAATTCGTTGCTTCGTCCTATTCCCTTTTGATATTCCCGACATGGATCCAGTTCTGGGGCCACATGGCGGTTTCGACATGTTTCGACCCATCCCGCCTGCGCAAAAATGACTGGCATGGTCCAGTTCCTCAAAGGGCTATGGCTATGGAAATCCCTGGGTGGATGGATCTGAATGATGAATTTGGCTGATGGTTGGAAGGTCCTCCAATGAACTGCTGTGAGGCTTGGGTGGCGGACCTGATCCAAGGGACTTCATCCTACCTGGATGTGGGAAAAAACACTTGAATGGTTGTGTTTTTGCTTGGGCAAGTCTGGATGAAACCCTTCCGTTTCGGAGCCAAATTTTTCGCACAACGTCTGTTTATTTTGCATGCTCAAGTTTCCCAAAAACTCCCTCAATTGCTTCTAGCTCCAATCATGTTCCATCTATCTCCATATGTTTGGTGTGCTTTTGGCCCATTCTTTCCGTTGTATACCCTCTGGTAATTTAACATAGCTATTGAAAATTGCTATTTATAGTGGATTTACCCATTAAAAATGGTGATTTTCCATAGTTATGTTAGTTTACCAGAGGGTAACCTACCCCAGACCCCCCAACATCACACATAGCTCCAGGTGTCTCCCGAAGCTCCAGCATTCCCACATCGTGGATGCGGCTGAAATCCAGGCGGTGTAGGAAGAGCAGCATGGCTAAGGTCACACCTTCCAGGCCCAGGGGGAACTTCGGAGGGGACATGGCCTGAAGGAACCTAAGGAACCTCAGCCCCCCCCAAAAAACAGGGGATGGGTTGACAAAAACTATTGTAGGAACTACATGGGCCTATGGCTATGATTTGAATCATCTAACTTCAAAAACATTACTATTGGAGGTACTTATTATCCCTTTGATTAGGAGGCCCCCCAAAATGAATTGAGCATATTCCAAACCGATTCCCCCAATGGTATTTTTGTTCCCTTGGGACACCAGGGAGGTCCTTGAGCAATAAGAAAGTCAGTGGCATCCCAAGCAGACCGATCATCATTGGTGAAGTACTGCATCTCCATTCTATCGCCAGTATTTGTGGGGTTACCTCATTCTTATCATCAAATATCAGTAGAACAGGGCAAAGCAAAGTGTCATCTTGACTTCAACATCTTCAACCACTCCCCATGGCACAAGGAATCAGCACCCTAGGGGCGGATTCCTTCGGCCCTTGGCGCACCTGGCAGCACGCCTCCCCAAAGTCCATCGCCACCCACCGCGGCCGCCAGGCGCAGCAGGGCCACATGACCTAGGCCCTGGAGGACCTCGGAGCAGCCGATGTTTACCATGGAAAGTGGTGGCTTTTGCCATGGATTTTATCATCATTTGACCATGGAAAAGTGTCAAGTCTTGGGAGTTTCACATCATTTCGCCCTCTTTTACCATCTTAGAATGTCATGCGTCTCATAGGTTATTTTAAAAAGAAACTACATCAATTATTGTTGTTGTTGTTCTTCTTCTTCTTCTTACCGTCTGGTGTCCTCAAACATGGCAGGCCGGGCAGAATTACCCATCAAAAATGGAAGTTTTAATGGAAACAAATCATCAAATCGAAGTAAAATATTGGAACTTCCAGCAAGTCAGCATAATTTAATCCCCTCCCTATATCCCTCTATGACTAGACAAGGGCAACCCTCTGGAAACCCTGGTGGAATGCGGTGGATTTATTTATGTTGGGGGGCCTTTTTGGGGGCCCCATGGAGGCAGCAAAATTGGAGAAATATGACCGGCAAAAATGGATAAAAATGGTGGGTTGAATGATTGAAGCAGCAGTGCTGGGGATTTTCGATGGGATTTTCTGGATCCTTGGCTCTGATCATCCACATGTACCCATTCAGCATGGTGCAGAGAGGTTCACGAGGATTTCGGACATCACCGGCAGAGGCAAGAAGCAGAGATCATGGTTGATCATCTTCCCCAAGTTGTGTAATGTGAAAAACTATGCTTGAATAGGGTACCCTCTGGTAATTTAACATAGCTATTGAAAATCACCATTTTTAATGGGAAAATCCACTATTAATGGTCATTTTCAATAGCTACGTTAAATTACCAGAGGGTAAGTCATGATCTGACCCCTGCAGGCCGTTGAACCACATCCACCAAGAAACATAGCTGCATCCTCTAAAGAAGTACCAGGGATCAACCCATTCCCGACCTGGGCTCACACATCATCAGGAACTGCCAGACTGTCTGGGGTCCACCTTTCTGTCCGGGATCAGTCCCTGTATTTTGCTACCCAAGAAGCGCCAAATGTGGATGTTGTCCACTGCGATCGCTTCCGGGATGAGGTGGTAGAGGAAACCACAAATCACTTCCTGGTAGATGTTGAAACCTCAGCAATCTGATCTGTCAAGAAAAGTAAATAACGAAATGGCCTAGGTAAAAGAATTGGCTTTGAATGACTTTATAGACTGCATCATAGTTAGATGATGTTAGATGTACCATGATGCCCCCAAAAGTGACAGCATCTTCATGACAAAAACCTACTAAGTTTACTTCATGGAGTGTATTTCATGGCCAGGTTGCAGGGTCCAGCACCATCTAGCAGTCTGTGCCCCAATAGATGTATTGTGATTTATGGGCAAATGTACCGGGAATAATCATGAATTTCATGTGCAAAATGGGGGGAGCGTCCTTTATTTTTTCCCAAGCGTTTCCAACTTAAATGTTCCAACTGCATCTATTGGTTTCCCAGATTTTGCCTCTAATTAACTAGAACTAGTCAATAAGCGCCTCCCCCCAGTCTGTAGCTTATTATTTGGCATACATCTACTCGAGATGGTTCATAATCGCCCCAACCTGGTTGATGAGTGTTGATGCCATCATAGATGTTGAATGTTAATCCTTCCCCATTTTCTGATTTTATCCTCCATGTATATCTCATTATATCCCATCTAGTTCTCCTTTCATGGATGATTAACCTCCGCATTTGTGGTTTATTATTGGGGTCACGATAAATACCCCCAGAAAGATCCCTTCAATCACCCGAGGGCGGGAAGTGACCCTTGAGTGGTAAATTATATATGTTGATTGTAAATTGGGGGGTTTTCCCTCAAAATAGTGAAATCAATTGTTACCGAAATGGGAACCCTCCTGGGAAAAAACTGAAGGTTTATTCATCGCTGGTTGACAAGGGCGTGTCTGACACATTTGGGAACTTACCCCCTATTCATGGCCATTTTAGAAGCGAGACTTATGATTCTAGTAATAGTATAACTAGTGTATATTAGAGGGGCTATACCCCCTTATTAATTTCAACGCGGACCATGTTGATTAACCAGCCTCTGGTTATTTAACATAGCTATGGTATAGATGGCCCTATATATACAGTAGATGATAAACATTATTATTTTACCATATTTTACCTATAAAAAATGATTTTCTAGTTCGCTACGTTCAACTACCAGTGGTTTTAGAGCTGGTTATGGGTCAATTTACGTACCCCTACCATAACTGGTTCATGGGATGTTTTTTATTAGTTACTTCCCTAAAATATGGTCATTTCCTAGGTGCCCTCTGGTAATTTAACATATAGCTATTGAAAATGGTCATTTATAGTGAGTTTTCCCATTAAGAATGGTGATTTTCCATAGTTACGTTAGTTTACCAGAGGCTAACTTGACCCATCGCTTTAACGATGGGTGCACTCCCTGAGCTCCGTTCCAGATCGTTCCAGGCGTCGGTGGATGGCGTTGATCACGTCCGGCGCCTCGCTTCGGGCGTCCCGCAGCATCCGCCGCAGCGCCTCCGAGAGGTTCCCGGCCGTCACGAAATCCTCCTGAGGCCATGGTGCCATGGTGGCGGATGAAGACAGGGTCCTTTGATGTCCTTGCTGTAAGGTAAAACATGGTAAAACCATGTAAAACCTCAATCTGTAGAGGAAACATGTGAGGAAACCATCTGTTTCTTTCATGACGAAATGGATAATCAATGATAATCACACTAGGAAAGTGAATGTAGGACCTATGGTTCCTATTCAAAGGAAGTTGGGAAGCAATACTTCCGTGTTACGGACAAATAGAATTCTGAGACTTGAAATGATGAAGGGTGGTGCGCGATTGAGAGATTGACCTTGATGAAGGGTGGTGTGAGACTTTACATGACATAACAATACATCAGAAAAGAATTGACCTTGATGAAGGGTGGTGTGAGACATTACATTACATAACAATACATAACAAAAAGATTGACCTTGATGAAGGGTGGTGTGAGACTTTGCATTACATAACAATACATCACAAAAGGATTGACCTTGATGAAGGGTGGTGTGCGACTGTACATTACAGTGGCAGATCGCATTGGAATGGCTGCATGAATGTTGCACGGGCTTTGTGTTGGGGAGGAAGCCGGAGCACGAAACCTTGTGTTTTTCCGTGTAAAGTGGCTGCAGCCGGCGATGAAAGGTACCTCGTCTGTGCGGCGGTTGCGGCTGGGGTCGTTTCTGTCGCGATTGTTCCTCCTATGTGTTTTGCAACGAGTGGTTGTTCCTGTGTGCGTAGTTCTATGCGTTTCTTGAAGCTGTGGTGGCAGATCGCATTGGAATGGCTGCATGATGTTGCATGGGCTTTGTGTTCGGGAGGAAGCCGGAGTACGAAACCTTGTGTTTTTCCGTGTAAGTGGCTGCAGCCGGCGATGAAAGGTACCTCGTCTGTGCGGCGGTTGCGGCTGCGGTCGTTTCTGTCGCGAATTGTTCCTCCTAAGTGTTTTGCAACGAGTGGTTGTTCCTGTGTGCGTAGTTCTATGCGTTTCTTGAAGCTGTGGTAGCAGATCGCATTGGAATGGCTGCATGATGTTGAGTGGGCTTTGTGTTGGGGAGGAAGCCGGAGCACGAAACCTTGCGTTTTTCCGTGTAAAGTGGCTGCAGCCGGCGATGAAAGGTACCTCGTCTGTGCGGCGGTTGCGGCTGGGGTCGTTTCTGTCGCGAATTGTTCCTCCTATGTGTTTTGCAACGAGTGGTTGTGTCTGTGTGCGTAGTTCCATGCGGTTCTTGAATCTCTAGTTGCAGATTGCATTGGAATGGCTGCTTCATTGTCGTCATTTGATGTTGCCACGTCCGTAGATAGGTGCAGGTTTGCTACGGGATGCTGCGACACGCATTGTAGTGGCTGCGTCAAGGTTGGTCGGTGCTGCGGCTGCATGCGTAATACTATTGTCTTTTGCAGCTGAAGATCGTAAATCGTATTGGAATGGCTGCATCAAGGCTGCGAAAGTGAATTGTCCGCAGATTTTCTCAATTTTGGTGCTAATAATTTTCCTTTTAAAATTACTTTTAAAAAGTGCTTCAAAATCGTCTTTTTGTCGCTTTGGCGTCGAGATCCATCCGGTTGTGGAGCTGCAATTTCCGACGCCATTGCACGTAGTTCTATTGTGTTTTGCAACTCAGTCTCTGCAGATCGCATTGTAGTGGCTGCGTCAAGGTTGCTTGGCGCAGCGGCTGCATGCGTAATACTATTGTCTTTTGCAGCTGAAGATCGTAAATCGTATTGGAACGGCTGCATCAAGGCTGCGAAAGTGATTTGTCAGCAGATTTTATCCATTTTGGCACTAATAATTTTCCTTTTAAAATTCCTTTTAAAAAATGCTTCAAAATCGTCTTTTTGTCGCTTTGGCGTCGAGATCCGGTTTTGGAGCTGCAATTTCCGACGCCATTGCACGTAGTTCTATTGTGTTTTGCAACTCAGTCTCTGCAGATCGCATGGTAGTGGCTGCGTCAAGGTTGCTTGGTGCAGCGGCTGCATGCGTAATATTATTGTCTTTTGCAGCTGAAGATCGTAAATCGTATTGGAGTGGCTGCACCCAGGCTGCGATAGCGATTCGTCAGCAGATTTTCTCGTACCAGGCGCTAATAATTTTCCTTTTGAAATTCCTTTTAAAAAGTGCGTCAAAATCGTCTTTTTGTCGCTTTGGCGTCGAGATCCGGTTTTGGAGCTGCAATTTCCGACGCCATTGCACGTAGTTCTATTGTGTTTTGCAACTCAGTCTCTGCAGATCGCATGGTAGTGGCTGCGTCAAGGTTGCTTGGTGCAGCGGCTGCATGCGTAATACTATTGTCTTTTGCAGCTGAAGATCGTAAATCGTATTGGAGTGGCTGCGCCCAGGCTGCGATAGCGATTCGTCAGCAGATTTTCTCGTACCAGGCGCTAATAATTTTCCTTTTGAAATTCCTTTTAAAAAGTGCTTCAAAATCGTCTTTTTGTCGCTTTGGCGTCGAGATCCGGTTTTGGAGCTGCAATTTCCGACGCGTTTGTGCAAGCTTTGTATACTACAAAGTAGTACTGGGACGTGCTTTGTTAGTGCAAGCTTTGTAGTACAAAGTAGTACTGGGAACTAGTTTCTGCAAGCTTTGTAGTACAAAGTAGTACTGGGAAACGCTTTGTGCAAGCTCTGTAGTACAAAGTAGTACTTGGAAGTGTTTTGTGCAAGCTTGTAGTACAAAGTAGTACTGGGACATGTTTTGTGCAAGCTGTGTAGTACAAAGCAGTACTGGGAAGTGGTTTTTGGAAGTTTTTGTAGTAGATACAATACTGGGAAGTACGTGACATGAAAATAGAGAAGAAGAATTTAGCTGACATGGGAAACAGCGAATGCGTGTGTGAATTTATTTTAGATGTTTTTGGCTTTGCATGGATGCTGGCTAGCATGTGCTACGTGGATTGCTTCTAGATATTTTTGGTAAAACATGCTTTTCAGTGTGAAGTGTGCAGTGTGAAGTGTGAAGTGCGAAGTGGAGCTTCAAATGTGACATGTGAAGCAGGACACCACTTTCGCAGACTGCACGCACGCACGGGCTTGGCTGGCGCACGGCGCATGCAAGTTCTATAGATGAGAAAGGTCTTATATATATTTTTAAGGCAACTTCCGCCCCGCCTCGTGCGGGTACTACTGGTAGCCTCAAGGAAAGTCCATATCTACAATGGAAAAGCAATGTAAATCTCCATGAAAACCGTCCTAGAACCGTTCTTTTGTGGATTGTTGGAGGCTATTGGAGCGCCACTGCATCCAAGCATCGTAGTAGGAGAAATAGAAAGCATTCCTCAGCTTTTTGTCATGTGAATTTCCCATGGCTCACCTTCAGCGAGATATGTATGCTATTCCGATATCATATCAATGGCAAACAACCACCCAATAAAGCAAGGCATCCAAAGACATAGACGAAGAAACCTTCCTAAATGATTTCAGGACCGAGGTTTTGATTTGTGACCTTTAGAGATCTAGACGGTTCTGAGACTTTACCCACACCATTACACGTCCGACTCACTTGCTAAGAATGGCGACTGAGGCACAGATGACTTCGACACATTCAAAGACCAAGCATTGACCCTAGATGCCCATGGACAAAAACTCATGTCACGCCTTATCACACAACAATCAATAGTCAATAGTCCCTAAGTTTAGGGAAATGGAGATTGATACCAACCCCCATTAGTGGTTTATTACTGTACTCTGTTTCCCACATGATATTCTTGCGCCTTCTGGAATTCCAACTCAGCATAGCTATGAACAAATGATAAAACATATCAGTTTGTAGATGCTTTACAGCACCTTTTTCGGCATGGTGGAAATCCACCATGCTAAGCCCAGCAGCTCAGTCTTCAAGAAGACATCCTTCTGCTCCGACACCGTCAGGCCGTTGTGGACGCAGTTGTAACCTGGACCAGGGGCACTAGGGCATCCTCCACCAGCAAACCCCTCAATAAATCGGACCAACAAAAACATGTCCACCACAGTTTCCCCCCTTTTTGTTGGCTTCCAAAGGCCCAAAAACCAATGTATCGATCTACCCACACCTGAGACCTCTGCATAGTGCAGACACCCCACCAGAAGGGCCACAACCTCAGGGGAGCAAAAGTTTGGAGATTTTGAGGAAATAGTTCTGAACATGTCTGGAAATTCCCTTGTAAATGGACGCTTTAAAAGGGAACATCACATTTAAATGAAAGTTTTAATGGGAAATCATAGTGCCACGTGCGATAATTTGATTGTTTGGGTTGAACAATAGCATTTGCAATTATTTACGACACGACTTTTGTGAGTATGTTGTAATCATTATTGGTTTTGTTTGGGGAAACGGGAAACGCTATTATTTCAATAATTGATGGGAACATTATGTGATCATTATCTGATCATTGTTGTTTTTTACTTTTTGTTTTGGGGATTAAGTTTGTGTTCTTTTCCGCACATGTTCCAGATATCCAATATTTCACAGATTGTCTGGACATGAACGGATTCTGGAATTATTTGGGGACATATGCAACAAGATCCGTGAACGATTTCCAGAATTCTGGTGGAAGTATGTCTAGATCCGCATAAATGTGAGGGATTTAGCCGTCAAAATAGCGGATATGTCACTAGGAAACGAAACATGGACCTGAAACAGTAGAAACAAACCATTCTATAGGGCAATTATATATTGGGATATAATGGAAATATAATGATTATGAATATATACGTGTATATATATATGTATATAATATGATATAATTGAAATATATGTGACATCGTTCAATTTCCCACTATCATCCAATATCCCAAGTATTTCTGGAAAAAAAAATGTTTTGTTTTTCTTTGGGGGGCGGGGGTGGAGAAATCGAAGCCATTGGACTATTTTAGAATACACTTGGTAGCTCTTAATATTTCACAATGTCATGGAACTAGTTGATGTATCATTTCGGCAAAACATCTGGACATTTTTTTGGGGGTTTACCCTCCAGTAAACTAACACGACTATGGAAACTCCGGCATTTTATGGATGATTTTGCCATGAAAAGCGCCATGAAAAAAGCTGGATTTTCCAGCTAGCCATGATAACACCCCAGGCTAGTCCTGGCTTCACAGACTTTGTGGGACCCCGGGCCCAGGCGAGGCAGACCTCCCAGCGAAGATCCATCACTGGCGCCTGGTTGAAGTGAACAACAGGAAACTAATACATAAATTAGTGTTCTATAGTGTTCTTATATGCTTTTATACGTATCAGTTTCCTGCAAAAGGGATTTATTATGATTTATTAATTTACCATAATTTACCATTACCATCTGGCTATTTAACATAGCCATGGAAAATCACCATGCTATTAATAGGTAAACCCAGGTAAACCATCTATAAATGGGCCATCTATACCATGGCTATGTTAAATAACCAGATGGTATATGTTTTTTTGATGAGGCGTTCCTTTAAACTACTTGTCCTTCTTCAGTCTTTTTCAGGAATTGAGGCGAAAATTCGGAGTTCAACTCACTGAGATCGATGTGGCAAGAAAAAATCCTCCACCGTGCTGGCGTCTTGGAACTACCATCTGGTAAGTTACCCTCTGGTAAATTAACATAGACCCTGGCAGATAGGGGTTGGAAGAATAGTTTCCATTAAAAATTTGTGATTTTCAGGGTCTATGTTTATTTACCAGAGGGTAATATTGGGAAATTGGGAATCACCATTTTTGATAGGGAGATCAACTATAAATGGCCATGTTCAATAGCTATGTTAGTTTACAATAGCGGTGATTTTTTGTAGGGTATCAAGCGTTTTGAATCGTATTGGCCGGATGTACCTTCACTACAGTATCGCTCCATTAACACCAGCACAATGAGGTCCATAAGACATGGCTGCAGCAGGCACCTCATATCAATGCTGCGACGCTTTTTTCGGCATTTGCGGCCCTGAATTAATTCTCCTTGCATGATGAAATGTCGTGACTTGGGCTCATGATATCTTGAAATTTGACGAAATTCAATCAAACAATATCAAAGGATGTGTCATCTTACCTGCTCTGGGCCGTGGTGTCAGCCATGGCTGTCTTCTTGATGCCTGCCCCGGCTACTGCCTCCTTGACATGTTGTGCTACTCGGATCGGTGGTGTCATGTCATGTGTTTTTGGGCTTCTTATGGCTTCTTGATGTTTCTTATGTCTGGATGAGCAGCCTGATATTTCTCTGCCAACCTACTGTTGGCTGTCATGATGTTCTCATAACATATCTTGTTCGAAGCCAAAGGCTGCGGCAACACGCCTTCTGCAGGAACCCCAAGGACCACGGTTACGACACCTGGGTGTCGTGTGTGACCAAATCCCACTGAATCCATCATGAAATATGTGTTCACCCCCAACCAATATTGTCAACATCAAGAATCATCAAGAATCAAATATTACATGTATTACATATCATATAATAGATATAATGTTATAATATGTTATATATTATATGTTATAATATGTTACGAGTATAATATATTTTGATATATATATATATATGTATATGTGGCTATCGTTTTTTGTCCAACCACAATGCTGCCATCCTGCGCCTCCAGCACATCGCCCGCATTGGAGCCATGGGCTTCCACCACAGCGGCAGGCACGTCTGGGGTGAAGTTGGGCTGCTTCGTGGCTTCCTGCATGCGGAAGAACCAGCGGCCCTTGGGATTCACACCTCAGCTGGCGCATGGCGGGGATGAGGATAGGCTCGACCCAAATTGCCCAGGGTTCCTCACAACAGTTGTCGTTTTTTTGATTTTATATGTTTTTTTTGAACTTAGTACGGGGGGTTAATGCCCCTATAACATCCTATAACTGGGATTGATGTTTACTACACCCCTTTGATGGTTCCTGGGATGGTTTTTCCTATTGATGGTACTGTCAGGCTGTATTAGTGGTCTCCTCTACTTCAAAAGTTCCCCAAAGAAGATCCCCAAGAAATATCTCCAGAAGAAACACCAGGCAAATATATAATTTATACAACATTTTATGTACTATAGGAAGCGCCTGAGAATTCGTTCCGATCGTTGGATATGAGGCGATTTTTTCCGTCAGAAGACTTCTGAAGCCTCCAAAGAATGGCAAACCAATCATTACTATTACCCACATTACAAAAATACAAAAAATGGATTATCACGCCCAACCCTTCGGAGAAAACACATATCGTGACTGGCGTTATTATTCCAAAAGGAGAAGGAAACTAAGAGTTGAAAGCAATAATTGAAAGCATTGAATGATCATGCCCTCAGCGTTATCGGATCAATTCCCCTCTTGCTCTTGCATTTGAACATCTATGTTTAATTCTGTTTATAGATTCTGATGCCCGTCTAGCATCTTCTAGCCTAAATTTCCACACTTTGATGGTCCTCAGGCACCCCTTGTTGCCGAAGGACGCTTGCCCCTCTGGTTGGTGATGGCATGGATAGGCAAGTAGCAGTAACCTCAGAGACGAATCAAAACAAAACGTGTGGAAAGACAGAAAGACTACCGAAGTCATAGAATGATATTTTATTATATATTATTATTATTATCATTATTATCATTATTATTATTATTATCATTATTATTACTATATATATATATATATATATCATGAGTGTTGGTGAAATCTTGGAGGATGTTGGAACAATCCGGTTTTTTTCTGGTTCGATCTTTTCTTTCAGCCACGCATTTGCATTCCATCCATCTGCTGAGATTCTCCATGGCCGATGGCCGTTGCATATTGGCACCTCTCTTTGCCAGTCTTTGCCTCTCTCTATGGAGTTTCTTAAAGCGGGGGATCCCCAAAACCATGGGTTTCAATATGTGTATAAGTATGTACAAGTCATGGTCTACTGGCTTGGATGATTTGGGGTACCATTTTTGGAAACCTCCATATCCGAATCGCCTCAACACTTGAGTTACACGCCCGATACTCTGACACCAAGCCACGTGAATAGATTTGACCCACCTCGGCAACATCGTCAAAAGGGATGTGAAACTTTCAATCTGCAGGGTGTCGGCTGGGAAAGCGTCCCTTCTTTACGTGGCTACATTCACAAAATTTGCGGGTGCCACCCTGAATGTTCTGATGCCCTGTTCCGAAAACGAACGCTCAATTCGGACTGGCAAACCTGAAGTTTATTGATTTTGTGACTTAAACGGGTTCAACGTTCAACAATGATGCCATGTCAACCATTCGGGATTGTTTGGCGGCCCCACGGGCAAAAAGTGATTGCATGTACATTGACATATATAATCATGTGTATATATATATATCCATCTCTCTCTCTCTCTTTTTTGTCATCAATACTCAGATGGAAGCCATCACAGCCCATGTGAATGAATACCACTTATAATTATCATGGAAGTTCCCAACATCCAAAATTATATCAACATCAATAATTATCCAAAATTAATAATCCAATTAGTTATATCCATTAATATGATTGAAGTATCCAAAATTAATGATCCCTAATTTCACATCAACGATTACCGAGCTGCGGTGATGCCACTGTAGCCCGCCATGGCGCCGTGCACCGCCATTTGCCCCAGCACCGAGCAGTAGGTGCTGTCGTAGGAGTTGGCCGCCACCGAACGGATCCTGAGCCCGGGAGATCCACAGGGACCGGTTGGGGCGACCTCCTTGGGGGCTGGAATCCAGTGAAATCAAAACCTGGTGATGTAAGCAACAAATATGATGGCATTATGGGATACATCTGGTATGGATTGATGAAATGAATGAAATGAGAAAGGTTTAAATTTGATACATCGCGGTGGAATTTTGATGGATACTATGGATTATTGATGAATTTTGGCGGCCAACAGCTTGACGCAAACTGCTGGCACCAAATTTTGTCGTCTATGCAGGGTCCTAAGGCCTAAGGGTGTTGCCCAATACAGCATACAACTACAGGAAAATGCTGTCATCCCCGCAGCCTTTTGCTACCCAGGCACATGTAGGTAGGGTCAATGTACTTGATGGTCAGGGGCAACCCCAAGGTTTTGAAGCGTGCTGTGATGGTATCCTTCAACCAGGGCCCCACGTCAGCCAAGATCTTGTTGCCACCTGGCAACCACACAGCACACAACAACCCGTGCATTCGTCTGGACTTTTCATCATGATAGATCCATCACCCGATTTATGCCATCAACCCCGCGGCTTGCCCCAAGAAAAAAAACACCATTGTCAATCGTTAGTGGCTTGATCCGCGATTCGAAGTTCCAATCAAAAGTTCTCCAGACTCCATTTTTGTCAATTGATTCTAGCTGCCAAACCTAGATCTTTGGCAATTCCAGCATTCCTAGCCCAGTGAGGTCATGATTGAGGTCCGATGCTTGCGGCTTTGGCACCTGCATCCTTCTCCCCTGAGCTTTGAATCAGCGTATCTCCGCAGCCCTCAGCCACCACCATGACACAATGGCCCTTGGTTCGCATCAGGTGCTCCACGTGTTTCAGCACCTGCCAGGGAATTCCATGGGGCCAACAAGGGAAGACACTGGAAGCAACCGGGATTGAAAGCTCATGAAGAAGGGTGGAAATGACTCAGAATACCTAGACCGAAGATACGCTATCCAAAATCCCACTTTTTTCCAAGCCGTTGGGAAGATCCAAAAATCAACTACTGGCTACGAGCATTGGGGAGGATTCCGGGATGGAGAAGCTCAACATTTGTGGAAAAAGGTATTCCTCAGAAACTCTGATGCTGACACTCAACTGGGATATGCAGACTTTGGTGGGTGACTATTCCAGCGGGCGAAGCGGTTTCCGAAGAAACACTTTTCATTGGACCATTTTGGACCCGACTCGCGTCCCAGATGGTTGGTGAACCAAGTCGTGTACCAGACCTTCTCAAGGTCAATGTTCATCTCAGGAATCAAACCTGGAGAGTGATGAGTTCATGGGAGGGGCCCTCCCAGGAGCATCAACTGGTGGATACCATATATTTGATCATTTAACATAGCCATGGAAAAACACCATTGTAAATAGGTTAATCACTTAGAAATGGTCCATTTTTTCCATAATTATGTACTATAGTTCTGAGTTTAATCACTGAATGATACGGTTCCAATTATTAAATATTTATATGAAATATATTCACTTTAAATCCCATTAAATCCCCTGATGTCAGTGCGATCTTCAGCGCCAAGTGGCAAATGTCCACATCCCGCGCCGCCAACGCCGCGTTCATTGCGATGAAGCCGCAGTGACGTCCCATGAGTTTCACCAAACCAATGCAGTTGGCCTCAGATTCACTGGGGACATGGTTGGGAAACCCCCAAAAATGGAGGTTTGAATGGGAAAACCATAGGAAAATATAGGAAAATCCCAGCAAAATCGAGGTTTGAATATGTTTTAGTAAGAAAATCATCGAACTCGATGAAGGATTTTGCAGAGGGTATCCTTATTTCTCTTCACAGGCCGGTGATCTAAATGGGACAGCGTTCCATTGTAATGTTTCTTTTTTCAGAGGGCACTCCCAAGTCCGAAAATTCATGGATTGACACAGTGCATCTGCCAGTTGAAGCACCGAAATGCTTAGCCGTGATTCAAATAAAGATCAAAGCATGGTGGAAGGATGTTGGGATCCATAGGGATCCAATACTTGAGAACAATGGTTTCCTGAATCTGGATCTAAAATGATCTAAATGGTTGTGGGTAAAAATTGGATAAGACCCGGAATTAGCACCATGGGCTTTTCACCTCACAATAGCTAGTGACTATTGATGCCATTGGATGTTTTCCCATAGCTTGGCCCGTAAACCTGCCATTGAATTTGTTCATTTTAGGGCCATGTCTGGAGGTTTTATCATGTTTTTTTTTAAACGGAATCAATCGCAATACATGACAGGGTATTAATAATTCACAATAATTCATATACGGTTCATATACAGTTGTTTGACGCTTACAACTTACAACTCTTATTTTTTTTGAAGCCAGCCCCTTCTACCCTGCCATCCAAGAATTGGATAATGGGAACTTTTTTTGAGGAAAACCTTGTTCAAGCTAAGCGCAATGGCTTCCCATCTCGATTGTGTTTAAAATCCCATTCTATCATATGTTTTTCTATCATATGATATCCCATGTTTGTTGGTTCAATCAAGTTCAATCCCCATTCTTTGATGGTTAACCGGTTAACCCCCCCAATCCTTCTTGCTGAAGACAGCAACTCATTGCCGCCTCAGTGGCATTGCTCTTTGCCTCCACATAGGCCGAGTTGACCGCCTTCGTTGCTTCGGTGCAGGCCGTGTCGAAGCCAAAGGTCTGATCGATCATCGGCACGTCCTGGTAGGGGCGGCTCATGGTTTTTCATGGGATTTCAAGGGTTTTTCATGTGTTTTGATAACATGGTAGTAGCTGGTTGGTGGTTTCAACCCCTCTGAAAAATATTGGTCAGATTGGATCATCATCCCAACTATTGGGGAAAATAAAAAATGTTCCAAACCACCAACCAGGTAGGGTTTAAACCAAAATGGCATATAGAGCATTTTTCAACGGCTTTTCATGTGTTTTAATGACATTTTAGTTGGGTTTACATAAACAAAAACGGGACAAAGAGCGTGTTTAAAAAGTTTTTGCAGATTGGTTGATGGGAAAACCAACCCAAAATAGGGATTATAAGCATGATTAAGCAACAAACATGGTGACATAAGGTTGCATAAGGGGGATATATTGTACATATTGGTAGGCGGGATCCAAGCTAGTCAGTCTATCCACTCCCAAATAAAGCACCCTTTTTTCGTCCAACCTGATCTCACTTCAGGAATTCTGGGAATGTGAGTGAAATTGATGGAATGTGTTCATTTTGTTCTGCACAATATGATGATATGATGGAATTCCCATGAAGATAGGAGTCGGATTGTATTGAATAGGATCTTTGGGGGGTCTGAAGGGGTCGGAGATAATGGGACACCAGCTGGGCCAAGGAGCATTGTCGATGGTCTTGGGCACACCCACCACTGCGCATTCATGGTCAATCTCCTTAGGTAACAGCCATGTGCAGAACTATCCTAACATATCCCAACTAGCTAATGCTGCATTGTAAGTCTTTGTAACTATATTTTCTCAGCCCTTCGATAACTCAGGTGATCATAGATTATCGATGATTATCGTAGTTTTCAGTTTTCAGTGATCAAAAACTCTCAACCATGACGATTATCAACCATTATCCAACTCGCAACTCATTATGCAACTGCCCGAAAGCTGAAGGTTCACCGCTCTCACGGGTTGGGAAAATACAACCAATGTGATCCGCGGTGGTCCGATGCAACATTCGATCAACCCTGAGGTCCAGGAATTTCTATAGTTTGTTTAAATTGGAAGGCTTCCAATTTCAATAATTCGCACTGGTGAAAAAAATCAGCCAGAGTCTACCCTCTGGTAAACTAACATAACTATGGAAAATCACCATTTTTAATAGGTATATAAATCAACTATAAATGGGCCATTTTCAATAGCTATGTTAAATTACCAGAGGGTATGAATCCAGGGTTGGACATTGTTGGGGCCCCCCAGCTGTGTCTGCCGGGAATCCATGGTACAGTCGAAGGTCTGCATGGCACCCTTGTGCGTGCCATCTCCACCTCGCAGGGTGGAAACATCCTGAACATTTCAGGGTTTCTGCGGGTTTCTGAAAATGAGGGATCCCAAAGTCACCATTGTTTTCAGCATGTTTCAGGACTAAAATTGTCCAATTTTGGATGATTTGGGGGTAGCCCCATGATGGAAACTTCCAAGTGGGCCATGATTTTTGTTGGACTTTGATGGTTTCAAACTGAAATAGACTGAATGTCTTTGGTAGCAGGGTGGCAACTTGACCTAGGCGCGGCTGTTGGCTCAAAACTTGAGGTGCCTAGGACAAAGTACTGCCGCACGTTTTTGCTCTGCAACATCTTGGCCATGTCCTGGGTGGCGGATGCGGTCACACCATGTCATATGCAAAATGATGCAGGAATCTCTGGGCACCTTCTGCAAAAGTCCCATCATTCAATGTCCATCATTCCCATTCTGCACGTACCGGCCATCTCTCTCTCTCTCTCTCTATCTCCCTCCCTCTCTGTCTCTCTCCTCCTCTCCCTCTATATAATCTATACACAATACATCTGCCCCTGCATATTCGAGGACAGAATAACTTGCGCATGGTCGCATTGTGCGTCAAATAGTGTCTAATTCACGATATGCTGGGGGAGTCAATGACAAGAGCCGAGGGAAAACCCCATTGGACCCATTGGATCACAATTATTTTCCAATTTTTTCGACCTACAAACGCCATGAATTGGGGTACATTCAATTGTCCGACACACCCACATTTTGTTTTTCATAAATCATAAATTTCAAGAATTTGTCCTTTAACTACATGCTTGGTTGTTCACCCAGCCATGCTTCTAAATGTGCGGGGTTGCCACGATCGCTGATCAGCATGGTGCCACCCTCCATATGGATGTCCTGCGACTGGTTTTCCATCAATGGATCGGTTGCTGAGAAAAACATCAGCAACCGAAACCACCGTTTTCATACGTTTTTACCCGTAAATAGACGGGTTTCCGGCACATGTTCCCATCACCCAAATCTTGGAAACCTAAAAAATATCCAACAATGATGGGAGATCTACAGTTTTCACTCATTTTCCCTTTGCGACCCTTGAACATACCCTCTGGTAAACTAACGCAACAATGGAAAATCACCATTTTTAATGGGTAAATCGGTAAATCCACTATAAATGGCGATTTTCAATAGCTATGTTAGTTTACCAGAGGGTAGACGAATTTCAGAAAACTCCGGGGCCAACAAACCTCTTTCCGCGCTCCTTGACCACTTCCGGGGTCAATTCCAGCCTGAGCTACGCGAAAAGCCACGCATCGCATCCAGTTGTCCATTCGGAATCCGTCCTACTGTAGGATTTAGAACCACGGGGAGTATATATAGATATAAATATATATATAGAATAAATATATATATATATATACATCTATATATACATCTATATATGCATACATTTTGTTCTAATGTCTGAAATGATCCGGAATTTGAAACCCCAAACCACTTAGAAACGGTCCAAATCATCCCCCCCACATTCCCATCTTCATCAGCCTGCGAAATGAATTCATCAGCCGGGTGGCCACGTCTCAGGCTCCATCACGCCCTTATATCCGCCCTTGATGCCATAGATCTTTCGGACCCCATAGGCCCAAAGCATGTTGACGATTTCGCGAATAACGCCTGGAGATCGTTGTCCAAAATGCAGCCCTGGTGTTGTCCAAAATGGGACCAAATCTCAATTTCTCGCCAGTCTCACAAAAAAATGGTGATTCTAGAAGTGAATAGGCCATTGGATATGGGGCGACCTTATGTTCAAACCCCAACATGACGGCTCAGTGCAGCCGATGCAAGAAAGATGTCTTGCTAGTTGAATCTGGTCAAACATGCTGGTGGTAACATGGCCGGTTGAAAAAATGAACATCATAAGACATGAAGATCCAAATCAATGCGTGCAACTTTGATTTGCCAGATTGGATTGCCACAATGTACCTGACCAAACTGCCAGCTTTTCCGTGCCGATCACAATATCAATCCTTGCAGGTAAAAATTGATGAATCTGTAATGAGAAATAGGTCATCTATACCTTCCTGTTTTCACTTTTCTATCTTTTTTGGGGGGTTGCCATATGTTGCCATACTATATAACTTATATCACTGATATCCCATTGCAATCCCACAATATCACCGTGTTATCCATTGCCCATTATAAAAACCATGAATTGTGCACCCATATTATCCCCACATTCTCCATTGAATCCTACTACATTATCGCTTGAATTATCCATTGTAATTATCCCCATAGTAGTTCTCAATTGAATCCCACATTATACTCTGCAACCTTATCCCTACAGAATCCCACTATACATTATATATAATATATTTTATATAGTATATTTTATATAATATAATCTTATATATATATATATATATTATAATGTGAATAAAGCACACAAACCACCTATCTTTTTTGATTGTTTATACCACTCATTGATGGTCAATTTGGGGATGGCAAGGTCCCGTTTGGTTTGCGTTGCCAGGTCACAATTCAGCCCGGGGCAAATGCCGCCGCAGCTCACAATGGCGGCCGCTGAGGCAGGATCGTGCGGGTCAAAGTGCAAGGTCTCCCGCGGCCCAGCGCGGGTCCTACACGCGGCTATGGGATGCCATGGGATGCCATGGGATGCCATGGGAACCACGGGGTTGGGCACAAGAATAGGGACTTGATGGACTTGATCATGAAATGTTTAGGTGCGTCTTTCGAACATATGGAGGATTTCATTCTGAAATTTAGCATTTGAACAGAAATTTAGGTGTGAGCCTGGCAATCTAGTCCCATCCACCTAGTGACACACCTCCATCAGCGCTTCTGGTGTCACGTTTTTTGGGGGATTGTGCAGCAGTTACCCTACAAAAATGGGACTGCTCCAACGACAATCCACACGTTGGTAGCTCAAATCGTCTACCCGAAGTGAAGCTTCAAGATTGGTAGGATGGTAGGAGTTTGACCTGGTTGGTGGTTGAACCATCTATGCCACGACTGTGAAAGTCAACTGGGCTTTATCAATGCATTTTCTGGGGATGAACCATGATATAGAACCGCAAGAATCCTATTGAAACCATAGACCAGCAACCAAATCAACCAGTATCCAAGATAGTTCTGGAGTTGTAGCCACTACCACTCGCAGGAAGAGCCACCAGTTGCTGAGTCCCTGGCATTTTGAAGTAAGGAACATCCTTCCCTGAGTCAATACCTAGGCTGCAGGAAAGCCAACAGCCATGGTTCCTTTTCTGGCGGCTGGAGCCATCCCGCAAAAAAGATGAAAATCAGATGGGTTCATCGTACTCAGGGTGGAATTCGTAAAATGAAGAAAGAAAGATTCGAAACCGCCGAAAACCAGTTTCATCCAACTTCTATGATCTTCTTTGGGCCTCTGAGCACTTTGGAGAAATTTGGAACCCCAATCCTAACCATCATTCAGGTGACGTCACAGTGAGGTCCTTATAATATGTTTCAATGATTTATACAGCCATATTATCCCCACTAATAATCCCCATATGGATCGCTAAATCCTCATAATTGTTGGCGAAATTTCCCACGATGTCGCCATTTATACAGCCATAATCAAAGGTGACAACCCCAAATCTCCCCATTTGAGTTCGATGATTCGATGATTTTCCAGCCACGTCTGACACCAGAGGCTACCCATTGAATATCCCATGATTAACTATTATCCATCATTAACTATCATTAACTATTCAATTGATAGTTAACCATTATCCCATGGTTGTTAATAAACTATTATCCTTGTTAATCAACTAGTATCCCATGATTAATTATTCATCATTAATTAACAAATATTAACTATTAACATCTATTAACATATGTTAAAATCTATTAACATCTATTATCATCTATTAACCATTCAAACCTCCCCAACCCGCGACCGGGTATGACTGGGGCCACCCACGGTCACCCAAAAACATCGCCTGTGATGTCCACGACAAGTTGTCGCTGAACCTCACGTCGCGACAGGTCGCGACAGGCGGACGGCTGCAGGTGCGACGAGAAGACCATGTGGTAAAAGCATGTACCCTCTGGTCGTCAAGTTTTACCATAACTAAGAAAATCACTATGGAAAACTCATATAACTATGGAAAATCACCATTTATCACCATTTTTAATGGGAAAATCAACGAACTAAATGGCCAATTTCAATAGCTATGTTAAATTACCAGAGGGTAATCCAGATAATTTGGTAAGATCCAGGTTGGTACCAGGTGGTAGTGGTAAAATCCAATGCCATAAAAACATATAAAAAACACTAGCAATCACTAGGCCCGTGAAGGTTGATCCGGTGGATACCGCCCCTGGATATCCTGGATCACCAGCACCTTCTATGGTTACAACAGCGCTGCGGCAAGATGGGCATTCCCGGTTACAAATGGGTAAACACGTCCAACTCAGATATCCCCACCATAAATTCAAGCTAGCCGTAAACCAATTATAGATAACCAGCGTCACCATAGTGTACCTATCTCCCCCCATTCCAAAATCAGAGATCCAAGGTGCAACTTCACCCCCTTCAAGGTGGAAGGGATGTTGAAGGTGCCATAGCGTTCACCTTGAGAGCGGCTGAAGCTGGATATGCTTGGACTGCTGGGATAGGTTCCCTGAAGTTAAGGATTCATCAGTAAAGTTACCAGCTATTTAATCTATCTTATGCATTCTTATGCGGTATCCAGCTTATCAAGGGGGGAAATCCTGGGAATCAGTTGCAGCTGTGATACACAACTCACTCAACTCAGCCCAACACCCCAGTCATCAGGGGTTGGGGACCCAGTTCTGAACCAGTTGCTGAGTCCCTCATCATACCGGCCGAGAAACTCAAATGGAAGCACTGCAAAGATCGCAAGGAGATGTGGTCCTGCGCTCCGGTTTTGGACCCGACGTGTAGGCAATCAAAGACTAAACTACTGCACATGAACATGTACAACCACATTCCAGAACACATATGATATACCCTTGAAAATTAAAGAGACAATAGCTCCGAAGTCAAGAGCCACTCCCCAAAAATCGCAGAAATGAAGCGGAAAATTAAAAAATCACAGCATCCTGAAAATCCTATCCGATCGGCTCATCTAAGATATCTAAGTAAGTGCTCGGCTACGCAAAGCTAATTAGATGTAATTATAGCTAGTTAGCCAGCCTGTGCAAGCCCGCCGAACTCTAAGAGTTTTTCGTTCACGTGCAATGGCCACACAAGTTGCAGAATAGAAATGAGATTCCATCAGAATCTCGGAATTCTTTCCGACCAGAATATACCAGAATCATTATTTAAAAAATATATAAAAATGCATCACATCATCCCAGGCCCACGGCTAAACGTTTTAATCGAAACAGCGATTTGCAGAAATGGACATCCTGGGTAAGGCAGAATGGACCATAGGGACAAGCATGTCACTTTCTCCACTCCCGGTCTCGCAGCAAAATAGGCACGTCCACTTCACGCCAAATTTCACCCGGTGCTGACCCATGCGACTCTTCCAGTGCATCTGCTAGCCGAAACTCGTAACCACCAGTGTGCTTTCTTTGTCCGGAGGCACACTGGGAAATGTTTCCAGTCTTCACAGCCAATGACCTAGCAGCGCTAGACATGGAGGCATGCAACGTCCACGCGTCACTGCTGCCTCGAACTCTGCTCCAAACTGGCTTGAACCCAGCTTCACGGTTGAAGCCCGCGTTTGAAAAAAAATGGGCGGCGTTCTCAGCCGGTGTCACGTACTCTAGGTTTTCACCTGCATTGTTTCCCTTGTTGAGATCCCTATGGTTCACCCAATTTTGCCTGCCCAAGGGAGGGGGTCCCAAAAAGGCAAATGCCACAAGGCGATGAACCAGCATGGACTGTCCCTGGAGTTTCATTTCGTAGTACCCAGACTTGCTAAGGTACCCTCGGCTCACATGTCCATGGAGCGATTTTATCCTTCCAAAGGAACTTATCGATCTGCCAGGCACCTCGGCACCTGAGCTTGGATTCAGCATCGGTCGCCACTCTTCCTGATTTGTTTCTTGTTCTTCCAGGTCTCGGAATCGAAACTCATAGCCTTTTGCTGACAAGTTGTTGCGACAACATCTTGAAACCACACATTGGGGTATGCCAAGCTGCTTTGCCGTGAGCGTGATTGAAGGGCAACTTGTCCAATCTTCATGGCTCCCCAGTACCCTGAACAAAACAGGCCTGGATTGAATGTGCCAGGTATCACGTCTCTGTGACGTGGCATGAGAGTACAGCTGGTTCTGGCTTGGCGTCACGTACTCCAAATTGTCCAAAACATTATTTGTCTTATTGCCATCTCGATGATGCACCAGCCAGGCCTCTCTACTTGGTGGGAAGCCATGGTGGGTAAGCTTGACCACACGATGAACTCTCCAAATCTGCCCAGCTATTGTGACAACTCTGTATCCTTGTGCATTTAGCGTTCCGCTTGATATAATACCATAGGTACTGCAAACTCTGCCCAATGAGCTGACTTGCCAGCATTTGCGTTGACTTTGAAGCGGCTGATTTGACAAACAACGAAGGGCCGAAGAGATGAAACAATGAAGGCCAAATTGGGGATGCCACGGTTGCAGTTTTGCAAATGCCATTCGTACGAATCAATTTCTGAATGTTTCTGACTGCTGCTACAGGCTTGAGATACACAAAGCCTTTACTTCACGCAAGGTCAAACAACTCAGCAATGGGTGCGCGCCACTTTTGTTTATTGCACGCATTGAAACTTTGAAACGGTCTCATCTTCCTGGATTGCCGTATCATAAATGGATCCAGATTAATGTTAGTAAAGCAATAGCAAATCATCCCCAAATTTGCATTATTTATGGGTGGTAGAAACATGTAGAAACCGTCAATCCATATGGGTGGTTTATGCCATTGCTTTACTAACATTAGGTCAGTAATGGTCCGTATCGAATCCATGGTGCTCCTGAATGAGGTCGTCTCTCGCCAAGGCCCGCTTCTCTCCTTCTTGCCCATAGCCTGAAGGCTTCAAGATGCCCTGCCAGCCCTCTACCCCTGATGAATCTGGCAAGAACACAGTTCTTTCTTTCATGTTCTTTCCGCAAAGAAAAACATGTTTAAAATTGTTTTAAAAAATCGCATGAACCAACAAAAAAGAAAGGCGGATCAAACTTTACAATATGGGCAGTCGATGGCAGTGATATGACATGGTATGACTATGACTGGCTATGTGCCCTCTGGCAGTCCAACGTGCCAAAAAAGGTCCCAACCAACATCTCCATTATGCCAAGCCAAGAGGCTCAAAAGTCACATGTTTCCCATTAATCTTTGATTATTGGATTGTGTATCCGAATTCTACATAAATATTGCTGGATACAGGCCCGTTAGCCCATGATTCCAGGTTACAACGTTGGTTTCCGAGAACATTTAGTAGGCAAGTCCCAATAAAACATACCACTATTTCAATATATTTCAATATCCATTTCCCTTTTGAACATCACTATTTCTCCGTATATGTTTTTTCCAACCCCAAAAAAAAATCCTGATTTCCACACCATCCACGTGTGCCCAACGCATGGCCATGGAACCATCCAAGATCTGCAGAGTGGTCTGCGGTACACGCAGGGTGTCCACCTTGTCCAGGCTTCCGGAGTTATCTCGGCGCGGGGTTTTTGATAAATGGTGGGCGGGCGGTCATGGCTGTCCTGATATAGGCTACTTTATAGTAATATCTAAATATGTGGGGGGGGGTACTACTATCCTTAAGTATGTTGATTTATGTGTGTTTCAAACTTTTTAAGTTTAGTACCTGCTCGTGATATAGATGGGGCTATGAGTGAAACATTGTGCACCTTGCTGTCAAACATGTTTTGACTTCGGATATTTCTGGGTCAATTCTGGCTATACATGGTGCTACATGGTGCAAAAAGTTTGTGTGAACGATTGGCCAGAGTGCAAGTTGGACGTCTAGTGAAGTCTCCCCTTTGGCTATCTAGTTACCTA